GTAAGGGAAATGTGTTTTCAGGAAACGTGTGAAATCTGTTAATTATGTGGCAGTTGGCTGTTATCTATTTTTACTGAAACTTGAGTCTATCCTGACGGCTAAGGTTCTGTGTGGTTCAGATGCTAATCTCAAAAATCCGCATTTTTTAATAAAAACTACACGTCAGCATTAGATGCTACGACTTCTGTAACTGAAAAATGGAATGGGTCATGATGACCGCATAATCTGCAATTGGAACCCTTTGCTGTTTTTGGAAGGTGTTTTGGTGGGGGGAGGGGATGCTGCATTGATGGCGTGGTCACACACATTTTAAAAATTAGATAGTTTGAAGAGTTCCATAAGAGAGAGACATCAGTTTCGCTCTGATAGAGTTTAGGTCACAATCGTGTTTTACACCTCGCTTGATGCTCGTTTCATTGAGATCATTAGAACGTAAAACGGGGCATGGAGTACACGAGTCAGCTGGCCTGAGCTGACCCTGTTAGGTTAAAACCAAGTTTAAAATATTTGCAATTTCTTTAAACACAACCCCCACCTGGTTTTGCGTCTTGTAAACTGAAGGTGATGGCTGCTTAGGTTTAACCAGAACTAATTTTGATGGGAACGAACCTCAGACTTCAAGTCGAGACTCCCATACCTTATCCTGTCCAAGTTTGGATTTAGACTTGGCAAATTCTCTTTTGGAAACCACAAGGGTGTAGATTAGACAGGCAAAACATTGCAGCAACGGTTGAGATTCTTGGGATAATTTTTACTGGCTTCAGTTGCGTTTGCTGTCCAGTCTTCATGCCTGTAGCCATACATCTTCGGCACCAGATGTCCCTGGTGATATATTGTTTCAGCCTCGTTGATTCAGCTTTCAAGTCTCTGGAGATTACAGTAAGTCTTTTATGTAAATCCAAAGCCGAGAGCTTTAATGTGAAATCTGCGTGCATGCATGTAATTACTGAAAAGTGGCATCAGCTGCACAGCCAAATCTCATACAGTTGCAACAAGATAATTTTATTTCTCTAGAAAACATAAAAGCTATTTGTTTACAAGTATCAACACCTAAAGATTACATTTACATCTATATAATGTTTGGATCATTTAAAATGAGCAAATTTGCCTTGATCTTTGTTGTGTTCTATAGATCTAATTGTCTTTTATGACACCAGGTTATAGTCTAACAGGTTTATTTGAAATCACAAGATTTCGAAGCATAGCCCCTTTGTCAGGTGAAGTGAGAAAGAAGCACAGAATTTATAAGTAAAAGATCAAAGTATCATACAACTGATGAGGACGTATTAAACAAACCCAAGATGTTGTTAAATCTTTAATCAGTTAGAAGGTTTTAATTGGTTAATATGTATATGTAATCCCCAAATTTCTTTCAAGTCACTGCCCTGAGAGAACTAAAGGCTTTATCAGTGTAAAGAAGAGTTGACATTTTGGGTCAGACAACCACGCAGAATCGCTGAGCAAAGGCTGGTAGCCAAGTTTGGTACCCATGAGGATGGCCTCAACCGGGATCTTGGGTTCATATTGTACGTTCATGTTTACGTTCTCAGGTCCTGGTGGACTTTACTCTAGATGTCTTAATAAATTTGGAATATAAAGCTAGTCTCAGTAATCAACAATCATTAATTGTTGTAAAATCCCACCTCGCTCAATATTGTCCTTTGGGAAGGAAATCTAATGTCCTTACCCAGGCTGGCCTTTATGAACTCTAGACCCACAGCAATGTGGTTAACTCTTAACTGCCCTTTGAAATGGCTGATCAAGCCACTTAGTTCAAGGGCAAATAGGGATGGGTAGCAAATGCTGGCATAGCCAGTGATACTCTCATTCGGTGAAAGAATAAAGAAAAAAAAGCTGTGAAATGTCTCACCTCACAACCCCGTCTTGGAGTAGGAGAATGAGGAAACATGTTAAATGTTACCAGCCACAAGTTCATATAATTTAAATTCTTTATTTTTGCATGCTGAGGCTTAGTAGTTGTTCATTCAGTTGCAATGTGTTTTCTTCACTTGGTTTTGTGTTATAAATCCTGATAAAACTAGTCTCACATTTTCTTTACATTTATACTACGTTTATAACTTTTTGATCAGCATTCTGGGAATAGAAATCTGGATTTACATTCAAGAAATTTAACGTGATGCAAAATAATAAGGAAAATAAATCATCATGCAAGCACTCACAAACAATATACTTTTTATGCCGTTAAATTTTGCCAGACCTGGTTGTGGTGCAATAAAATCAAGTATGCAGTTCACCTAGGCCGATGTAATGTACTGAAAGCTGAATGGGAACTCCAGAGATTTTATTTTGTGAATTCTTTAAGAACCAGTTTGATTTTGGCATTGTGTGAGATACAGATTCTCTGCAACCTGCGGATGTAAAGCAAAATGGTGTGTGTGGTATCATGAGATGTCAGCCTTGACTCAGTTGGTTAACATTTTCACCTCTATGTAAAGGAACCACTGTAGGTAGCGACGGTGATGGAGAAAAGTGAGCCAGGAAACTCAGCAGTTCACTGGGACCCCCACCAGTAGGTGGCAATGGTGAGGGAAGACAGCTTGAGCCATTGACTGGACTCTTGCTGACAAAATGGAACTTTGATGGAAGGAGGGCTGAAAGGAAGTGGGGTGGGGGTGGGGGGTCACAGATAGAGAAACAATTCAGCAGCCAAGTGTAACTCACAAGCTTTGTTTCATGCACATACTGTACATTTTTTTTTTGTTTATCCTCAATCTCTCTTCCTGTTTCTAATGACCTGATGCCAGTGGAGTAAAGAATCCTTGCTTCATGATCTTTGGGCCTTCCGTATGTTCAAATCTCATGTTGCATTTCTTGCATAGTCGGCATGATTCAACTTATGGCAGATGAGTCTGGCCTAGATGTAGCATATGATAGAGGAGTTGAAAATGTCCACGAGAAAATCTGAAGCTGTTCCAAGATCATTGGAAGCTCAGGTTTTTGCAGAGGAACCTCGATATTTAGGCCAGAACTAGGCAAGGGCTCCCCATATGCATTCCCTTCACACTATGAAGGAAGGACATGGTACTTCTGGTGAGTTATTCTATTTGCCAATGAGTAGGAAGGTTCTCAGATTCAAAGCACAACTGAAACACCTGATTAGAAGCTGGTTTGAGGGCACACAGCTGATTGTGGCATCTAGGTGCCTCTACATCAGTGCGCAGGCACTATTCCTGATGGAACATGTGCGTGGGAATTTCTGGAAAGTAGTACAGATGGTCAGATAAGTCTTGCAGATCTCCCGACAAGGGCTTATGGAGACTGCAGTAGCCTGACGCAGTAAAGGGGTCTCATGTTACATTTCCGCATCAGAAGATTATAGTTCAAACCACAATGGATCTAAGTACATAGCCTAAGCTGTGTCACCAAGTGTGGTACTGAGAGAATGCAGCAGTATTGGAGGTGCAGTGTTTTGGATAAGACAAAGACCTGTTCCTGCGACAATTCCCACAGCACCATAATGAGTGTTCTGGACAACATTCATCCCTCAACCAGTGCTATAGATTATCTAATCGTTTGCTGGTTCTGGGATCTTGCCTTGCAGATTTCAGCTGTTGCTTTTCTGTGTATTAATTACAGCACTTTAGAAGCAATCCAGGGGCTTTAAAACACTTTGAGATGCCAAGGACATGACAAGATGGTCAAATTTTAAGTTTTTACTCCAGTTTGTGCCTTGCAGACAGCTTTCTATATCCTGCCCTGAAATTGATTAACTGGGATTGAGTTGGGATAAAGGACACCCCCAGATAGAGTGGGAAGGGTTCCTGGTACTTGCCGAGACCAGGAACATAATTGAAGTGTTTTCCAGCCAGCCTCAAATTTCCTGATATGATGGGGCAAGTTTAGCTGCCCTGGGGGTGAGCACCTAGAAACAGGCCAATGAAGTCTGTGACACAGGCATGTCTACATGCTCACCCTGCCTACTTGGGTGCATGGGAAGCCAGAGACTACCTGGTAGAGGGATTTCTCTCCCCCTGCTCCTCTCAACAATAGTGACCTAGCTGCTGCTCCTATTTTTATTTGTTTTTTTAAAAAACGTTGCTGATAGGGCATCTTCATATCAAAGCAGTAGATCTGTTATTACGCTTTATTGCAGCTGGGTGCTGCTTTGAAACCATTTGGCCTCAGATCAGCCTTCTAACTTCAAAATGCCACGTGCTACTTCTAGATATATTCTCGTCAGCCAGCTCAGATGTTATTGCAGCCCTCTGGAGCAGGTGGATCTTGAATCCAGGTCTCCTGATTCAGAGGCAGAAACACTACCACTGTGCAACATGAGCCCCTCACATGCTACAGCTAACTTGCCCATATGTTAGTTAAGGGGACGGAGTGGTCAAAATTCCAAAGAGGACCATATTCCTCTGAGGGTAGGTTTGAGACCCAGAAACATCCCTGCTCCTGTTCCCTGCCCAAAAAGCGAAAACCCAGATAAGTTTTTGAGGGGGATGTACTGTTTGAATGAATAACACATCAGCTCCATTTTAATCAAGAGATATTCTTGCACATGTTCTCTTTTGTGGAATATTATTTGGATATCATAACTAGCCAGCAGGCCTTCAAACATCTCCCTTTCTTACTTACGTTTTCCTTTACTTTTTCCAGTTTGAAGATAAGTAGTCAGTGGTGCTGCCATTTTGACTCATCTTTTTAGAGTATGAATGCACTGTGAGAGGGCCTTATTGTTTGATGTTGATCAATATAATCACAATCCCCTTGATATTGCATTCTCTTCCAGCAGGGTAATAGTACAATATTGCAACCTCCTGAATTACTTTTGAAAATAGTATTTTGTTAACTAAAAATGCATTACAAGATTAAAATTCAAAAGCCACTTCTGCAGTGTGTTGAAAGCTGTTAATTTGATGATGTACATAAGGAGGCACATTATCCTTCCTGTGATTTCTCAGTCCTCCAGCTACTATTTTTATTATGCTCACAGTTGGTGCTTCTCAGTTCTTTGCAGGAGTTGAATCTTGCTGATAACCAGCTGAAGTCTGTTAGCAGCTTTGCTCAACAATTCCCTAACCTCGAAGTTCTTAATGTAGTCAACAATGACATTGACTTCAGGGATGGTCTAGTAAGTTTAATTGTTTCATAAACGTATGGAATGGTTACCTGAGTGATGAATAGGACTTTGATTTTGCTGACAAAAGAAACATTTCATTTATATTTTTCATCTTGCACTCTTCAGGGTATTTCGCAAGAATTACCAATGTTAATGGAAAACAACATTTATACTGTATGGGACAAGAGTGCACTTTCAGCGTCATCATTAACTGGTGCTTTCTTCATAACAACATCTCCACCAGAGTCCAATTGCAAACCAATCAAGAACAAAAACAAAAGTTGCTGGAAAAGCTCATCAGGTCTGGCAGCATCTGTGAAGAAATAAAAAAATCAGAGTTAACGTTTCAGGTCTGGTGACCTTTCCTCAGAACTGTTCTCATAGAATCCCTATAGTGTGGGAGCAGCCCTTCGGCCCAACAAGTCCACACTGGCCCTCAGAGCATCCCACCCAGGCCCATCCCCATATAACCCATCTAATTTACACATCCCTGAACACCACGGCCAATTTAGCATGTCAAATCCACCTAGCCTGCATACCTTTGAACTGTGGGAGGAAACTGGAGCACCCGGAGGAAACCCACACAGACGCGGGGAGAATGTGCAGACTCCACATAGACGGTCACCTGAGGGTGGAATCGAACCTGGGTTCCTGGTGCTGTGAGGCAGCAGTGCTAACCACTGAGCCACCATGCTGCGAGGCAGGGTCACCGGACCCGAAATGTTAACTCTGATTTTTTCTTCACAGATGCTGCCAGACATGCTGAGCTTTTCCAGCATCTTCTGTTTTTGTTCCTGATTTACAGCATCCGCAGTTCTTTTGGTTTTTATTTTGCCAACTAATCGACAGGATGTCTTGTCCCACGCAGTATAAATGTTGTTTTCTCTTTACTTTGATATTCTTGTGAATTGTCCTAATGAGTGCAAAACAAAATGCCTTGAAAAATTGTCTTTTTTTAAGCAATACTCAAGCTCTGTAAAACCAAATGACCAATAGAACAGTTGTTTATTGATTTATTGGTTTGTATTTTCTATGAAATTGAGAACAAAATAGTAATTTATGATAATTTGAGTGTTACATACCATATAATGTAGATCAGCGTGCCTATCTAATGAAAATAATGTTTGACCTTTCAGAAAAATGTTAATTACACCTGCTCTGTGAATGGCTGAGTTCAAGAACTTATTATGTCAATATTCTTTTCTTCAAGAAATCTCTGACGCAGTGCTTCCACCTAGTGGAACTGAATTTAGCTGGCAACTTAGCTGAGACACCAGAGGAAGATGAAACCATGTAAGAACTATACATCTATGAGACCTATATTAACTGACAAATTATTGTAGAAAAGAAGTCTGACTGTAACTTGTTTGTAGTCCCCCGCTTTGCAGACACAGCTCATGTAAATTCCTGCTTCTAATTTTTTTAAGCAATTCTCCATTTGTAACAATTCTACGTTCGGTTAAGAAAGGCAACACAGATTTGTTAAAGAGATAACAAGGTGTAGAGCTGGATAAACACAGCAGGCCAAGCAGCATCAGAGGAGCAGGAAGGCTGACGTTTTGGGCCTAGACCCTACAAATGCTTCACAACATGCTTCAACCTTCAAAATACCAATTCCCTCAGGAAATCTTCTACTCCACAACCTTATCCTGCACAGACTCAGTCTCGTCAAACATCCTGACCCTGAAATCTACAGCCTCACAGTTACAGTCTCCAAACAACTGCAGCTATAATAAGGTTCTTATTCCCAACGCCCAGTTCAACTTTTCCCATTAGTCCATCAGCGTTTTTGTGATCTCACTTGCTACTAGATTATCCAGTCATCCTTGAAAAACCACACAAGCTACCAAACCGAAGTCCACTTACAGCCTCCCAGCCAAAAATCTCTCTCCTCATTCATGCTCAGTTATTTTACTGATGACTTGATTTAATATACAAACACTTCAAATGAATTACCAATATGTTTTAACACGCTAATGAACAAAGAATGCAGGATATGTAACACTGAAACAACCCCACATAAATCTGTTCAAACCTCTATCAGTTTCCTCCCACAAACTTGTTTAGATTATCAGTGCAGAAAACATTTCAGCTTTCAAACACAGAGACCATGTAAGGGAGGAAAACCTGGTGCTATCTTGCGACTTGAAAACAAAAATTTATAAGAAAATATCAACAAACCTCTCTCTCTGCATCTATTGCAGTAAGAAAGCAGCCCTTGGAGAGCAATGACTGTATTAATCATGGAAAGCACTTGTT